CTTTACTATGCAACCAGTAATTAATAGCTTGAACTTTTGCACTGAGTAGTAGTGGATAATTACCCACCTTTGCTCTTGATGCTAAGTTACAGGATTTTTTATTTACTTGTAAGATTTGTTTGCAGAATTTAATATTGATTTTTCAATTGATGTTTTGTTCCATTTAGCATTGTCCTGAATGTCCTGCAAATCTAGGGCCCATAATTCTAAGCCATAAAGCAAAATTGGTTTTATGTAAATGTTAAATAGTTTCATTTTTAGTTTTATGTCTAGATTTCCTAAAAGTACTTCGTTCATTATGTAAATTGATTTTCCAGCTTTACCTGCTAAATTTGATATGGCATCAGCAAAACTCCCATTTGATTTTATTGTGATTCCTAGATATGTATAACTGTTTTTTGTTTGAATGTTATCATTTCCAAAATTGAATTGGTATTTTTTTCTCAATGTTGATGAACCAAAGATAACAACTTGAGTTTTTGAAAAGTTCACACTCAATTTCCACTTATTGCAATATTCATTTAGTGTATTTAATGATGTCTGTAGATCAGCCTGGGTAGTGGAAATGAGGGCTAAATCATCTGCATATAAAATAGAGTTAGCAGTGTTATTATTCAGGAGTGGTGGTTCAGTATTAGTATTATCCAAACTATCTTTAAATCATTAATAAAAATGTTGAAAAGAGTTGGGGTAATTATACATTCCTGTTTTACTCCTCAATTAATAGTGAATTCTTTGGTTATATAATTATTTATATTAATGCAAGCTTTTGTTTTTGAATACATGTTTTTTATTATTTTGTAAATCTTGCCATTAATGTTATTTTTTAATAGTTTATAGAATAGCCCTACTCTCCATACCGTGTCGAATGCTTTGGCAAAATCTACAAAACAAACAGAGTTTTTGTTTATTTTTAATGTGTTTTTGAATTAGAGTTTTTAATACAAAAATTTGATCAGTTGTTCTGTGGTTTTTTTCTGTAAACAATGACACGCTATGGCCAACTGACGCATGCGCAGGTGTCGACTCCCCCGCTTTAACATGTAAGCTTACGAATGTGTGTAGATGCAAAGTTGGAACAAGTAGCACCACAAGTAGTTTTGAATCAGTCAGCAAACATCAGTATCATCCCAGCACATCAATATACAGCATTTGAAGCGGAATCAACCGCTGCAATGATACTGGCAGTTTTAGCATTTAAATGCATTAATCGTATACTGAAAAAATACTTTATTTTAGCTGGAATTAATTTTTCGTTGAAAATACATCTGGATTGTATTTTGCTGACCCACGCCTCAAGCGAAAGTGCCAAAAAAACACACATTCCAAGTTTCAAAAAAGTACATCATCTAATCGAAGTCAGATTACAATCACTATTTTATATAATCCAGGATATTATAATTACCCTTTCATACAAATGTGTATGTATTACCTCATTTGCATGCAGCGGGGTTATGGTCAGGTTAACAACCACGTGTTCAAGTCTTTGACATATAGAAATATTATATGGTAGACTTGCATCTGAATACAACGAGAACAGTATAGTGTTTTTAAATCTGCGTTCCAGTTTTCTCATCGCTTACGATTACTGCACTGCTGCAATACGCACATTGTCGCCCACAATATTACGTAAAATTCACGTTATAACATGTCACACGCACATTTGGACATTCATTTTCTTCTTTCAAGATTGTTATTTTTTTAACGTTCCATTAAATCCGATGAAAACAGACTCCGGTTTGTATTACGCATTCCTCGCCAGAACAATATGGTAATTTATTTGTTGCTTAGAGACCACTGGCAATTGGTTCCCTCACAAACAGTTTCAAATGTTACCGTAATAACACAACACAAAGCGACTGGCCCATAAATGATACCCATCCGTATATAGATATTACAGTTATGTGTGACTGTATGACTCACTATGAAACACTAAGTGCGCACCCAACTCTACACTAAGCAATTCCCGTTGCTAAAACGCGCACCGCTGTTCCATGTATTTCTATTAGTCATACGCAAGCTGCTGTAGAACGCCAGTCGAAGAGCCGGTGAAAACAGCACAAACTCAAACGTGTAATCCTGGGCAACCACATTTATATATGTTGCACATGTATGGGTAGTCTTGTTAAACTGTTTGAGAGAGTCTCAACAACTAGCCCGAAGTAAGGATTTATGAGAGTTTTCGGCCTTTGTTTTCACCGAGATGGTTGCTAGGCGGGGAAAATGCCCGGACCAGAGAATATATTCAGTGCCATGTTTACTACTGGTTGTTTTAGCACCATATTCCCCAGAGTATAACATGTAGGCGTGAGTGGCGCCTTCACCGACCGAACGGCATCATACCTCACTGTTGGGTTAAGAGCACCGCGGAGGGCGCAAATCAGGGACTTTGTCAGGCTAATAGCACAAGTGCTTTCTTGAAATCTACAGCGTGGTCATATTGGCAAATATATTGGCCGCATTCGAAATAACGCAGAATCGGGCTCTGTACAAAGTCATGTCCATCATGTCATATACGCTCTTCAAAGTCATTGGCGGGGATGG